TATTTAGTGTTTGTTCCTTAAAACTTTCTTCTTTTCGACCTGTCTTGTAATAAAAAATAAATATTTTGCGAGTGTCTATGTAAGTTAGTACAATACCGTGGAGGTAATTCAGTCTGTTCGCCAGAGTTGTTGAAAGTCCAATGGAAGGATACCACTGCCGGATTGGCGTCAACACTACAGTGCAACATGACCGTCTCATGCTTTAGCGCGCCAAAAAGCTCGCTATCACGACGTTCCGCGCACACTGGTGCATCTGAAAATATAATTGGCTTAGAAAAGATCGTCACACACTATTACGATTTTACACACATACATCATATGCTTAACTTTATTATAAAATGAAAGTGTCATTTCAATGACAAATACATTATGTAGGGACAACTATGAAGCGCTTAACGTACGATTTCGATTAATTTTACGCGACTTAAAATGAAGTAAAAATGAATCTTAATATCTCATTTGCATCTAAGGTATTATAAAGAGCCTCAAAGTAATCTGCAGACAAAGTTACAAAAATGGTAAGATGTTCTCGAAAAACGATTCCGAGTTTTATACAATCTGGCAACCCACATCTAATCTCTTGGTTTGGAAAGTTTTTAATCTAGTAAAATGTGGTGAAGTAAAAGTGGGACGAGTGCCGGGGCATGGGATAGCAAAAACACCTGACGTAATCCAATTAGATCGGATCGGGTTAGACAATGAAAACAAACATTCAATTGTGATCCGTATGACCTAATCCGTGCGCTTCGGAAAAGTTTCCATTCATTAGCTTTTCATGCTTCTAGCGAAAATTGGGAATTTTCGCAATGGATTCACATAATTATACAGCAGAATATTAATCAATAATGACCTTATTACTTTCGTATAGCTAAAATATGTTTGTCTGACTATTGAATGAAGCTAATAATATATATTCAAACTTGTGTTATTTCAGCTGAAGTCTAATCTAAATAAAATGTACAACTAAAACTCACTTAAACAGCTCATATCAGAAACGATGTTATAAAAAGAACTACTTCGTATATATTGTATTGTGTAAGATAGATGTAGTTACACAAGGCAATGTCTCAAACTGTAAGAGAATAACTTCTGATAAAGTATGATGATACTCACATCGCACCAATAAAGATACAGGATTGCTTGTTCCCTTGCCTTCGCTATTAGCTGCCACGCAAGTGTAGTCTCCAGCCGCGCTCCGCGTTACGCTCTGCAGTACTAGGCTTTGGGAGCTCAGAATTATACCCGCAGAGTCATTGTGGAATATTTCGTTATGCTAGAGAATACAAAACTAATTAGAAGTTTATAGTATAATTCCGGCAAATAAGTTGGCCTGACGCGAAGTCGTTATTATTATTTCGCGAATACATGCGCGCTGTATCATTAAAAAATACTATCCCACACCGCAAAAGTCAAAAGTTATTTATTCATATACATAGGTAACACAATGTACACTTATGGACGTCAAAAAAGAAATATACATGAAATGCTTCAAATTTTACATTTACTGCCAGTTCTCAAATCAAGGGCGTAGAACGGAAGAGAACTGGCAATTAACTCTCAGCCACTCTTTTAAAAAAAAAAATGCAAAATTTGGCCAATTTAATTGGCCATAAATATAGCAGTTTTTGATAGTTTGTAATATTCATAACCTATTTTACTTGTTCATAGAGAAAACTTTCACAATAAATCAATTTCTCAATACTAATTTTTATTTTCAATTCATATGAGAAGTACTTGTAATATATTTTAGTGAATAAACTCTATATATACGTTTTTGAAGTGAAAACTTCTTTAGCGGTGTTGTACACTTTTTTTGGAATGGGTAAAAAATGTTAAACTCGCGTCAGGACAAATTAATACAAATTCGTAAGACGGATGTCTTTTTAAAGGATTATGAACCTTCGTGCTATATAGTTACGGTTACATGTGGAATTGGACCTTAAGTCAATACATCAAGGTTTAATTTTGCGAAACGTCTAAAGCTTTATTATTAACGATTTGGTCAGACTGACGCATACGAGTATAAAAAAATGGCAACTTAAAAAGTAGTGAATTTTTCTAATTGAATTATTTAATACTAATTTTAATTATTTTGTGTAGGTTTCGTAAGACGGATGGAGAGTAGACAGCTGGCGCGGCGTATTTAATGTAATATAAATTGTCATGTTTGTGTACGATAGCGCAATAAATAAATATTGTATTCTACATCTACATAAATGATAGTAGTTTTATACTGATAATTAAAACAATTCGTGCAAAATGATTCCCTAATCATTCCAAAATATCAAAAATGCCCAACGTTAATATTCAAGTTTTCACTTCTGCCGGCACTCCCGCAGTGCAACCCGTTGTTTTTTTTTAATTGATACTTACACCGTGATACCAAACTAATCTGTGTGACTTTGGGTTTGCTTTGACAGTGCATTCGAAGTATACATCAGCACCTTCTTTTATTTCGTCTGGATTCAAGTTTGATCCCATCTTCAAATCTACAATAGGTACATCTAGACAAAAAAGAACATTGTTAACAATACAATGAAATTTTTTTTACTATCTGATCACTTTAATTATTCTAAAATTAATTTTAGAAATAATGTAATAAAAGATTTCGATAGAAGATAGATATAATTTTTCATTTATTAAAATATATTTACACTCAGTTCTAGATAGATATGATATAAGAAATACTATAAATGCGCACTTTCATTTAGTGTTAAGCCACTGAAAGATTATATAAGATTGAATAAAGATGCAATCTATTTGTTGACCTAATTTCCCATTACATATTTGGGAAGGATTCGCTTCGTTAAAAGTCGTCCTTATAAAGCTTCACATAGTTAATAGTAAATTGATATTCAAATTTTCATGTCATAATTATATTTGCACGCGATGGAAAATCTACTTAAATTAATCATATTTGGCTGTTCTACTACGAGTATTACTGAATTTAATTACTTCGGATATATATATTCCTCTTAATTAACATTGTTTCACGTAAATGTTAAGATTTTAATCGGAAGTACGGCAGTATAATATTTATAAATAAAAGTATGTATGTATAAAGCCAGTGAAGGGTGTCACAAATTCAGAGTTTGCAACCTAATACTTGTTACATGAGGCGCTTCATATAAAACTTGTTATTTCGTTCTTAACGAAAAAAATTGTTTCTACTTGGTAACCACAAGTAGCTTGTCTTATAAATATGTAACCAATAAAATATTTACAACTGAGGCCAATTTATTATTTTTGACTTAAATTTTTAAATCAAATTTTCTTCATAATGAAACGGATATATTTTTCACCTTAACCTTTAATACATTCATTTGTTTTTTATAGAAAAATTGTCAAATACTTACAGTGCACGTTAAGCCTCCATTTGTCTTCAATAGCTGAGTCCGGGATGTGTTTGTTCTCCGCGCGGCAAGTCAAGTACTTCCCATCGTCTTCCACACTCGGTACTAAACTGAGCACGCTTAGAGTCTCATTGTTCTCAGAGAACTAGAACAATAAAAAGTTTACCTTAAGATTTTCATACAAGAACCACATTCTTTAAATTGCGTTTAATTTTCCTAGAATATAATGTCCTTCACCGTACCAGCGAGTGTTAAATGGGCAGATAGACAGAAAGTCCATGTGTCGGGGTTTGAACCTAAGACCTTAGGTATCAGTGTCTCAGCTGAGGCCACTAGGCCAACACTACTCTATCACTTATACAAGATGGGGAATAGTAAACATCATACGGATACAGCTAACAAAATGGTATTGTATAAGATTTAATATATATTTTTGGTCAATGGTCAGAATAAAAATGTTCGCGTATTCAGTTCACGATATCAAAATTACAATGATTTTCTTCTTATAAAACATAAATTAAGAGGCCTAGCTTCATTTTACTCTCAACAATGATACAGTTTGAAATAAAGAAAAATCTTAAGTCTTCAAGGAATAACCCATTATGCACTAGAACAGTTCTTTAACGCCAAAGTAATTCATTTAGAAGCTGATCTCTTGGGGTAAAAAAGGTTCTTAATGAAAGGGAAATTTAATTTCGGAGTTTTTGTTAAAATTCCTACAGACGATATTCATTACATGCTGGCTAAGTTACAGTTAAAAATCAATAGAAACAAATTGTTTTGAATACCTTATCTAAATTTGATTTTGACCAAATAGTATTATAATAAATTATTCGTGGATTTTGTTGGTGATATTCAGTAATGCACGATTATAAAATTAAAGCATGATTTTTTACTGAGAGCCTTATTGTGATAAAAATATGTCCGACGCATAATAATATAGAACAAAAAATGTCAAATACGAGGATAAGGAAAAGATCTATTAATTAAAAGACAATGGACATGGACAAAGGCTCACATTTTTCGCCATCCTCTTGAGTTGTCTATTGTTCTTCCACCAGGAGACTGACGCGTCGGGCCGCGAGCCAGTCGTCTTGCACTCTATTTCGTATCTTTTGTCGGCGGACACTTGTTTTTCTTTGTTTAATATGTTTACTGTTATTGGTTTCACTGTGGATGATAATTGATAATTAAATGTGTGACAGATTAAACAGTATATTCATAATTTTAGTTCTATCGAGTTTTGTTTATCAATCAACCTTTTGGCCTCTGAAGGCATATACGAGTACATATGTCGCTGAAAGTAAGATAGGCACATTACTTAACATGTCTGTGTATAAATATACTTTAACAATCATCAGTGAGGATGCCATTACATGGGCATTACAATGAAGTGCGTGTGCTAATACGGTAAAAACATTGTTTGTTGTTTATTAAGGGTTTAATATATCTAAATGAATCTAACTTTAAGCTAACCCAGCTAGAATAAATAATGCACAGAAATTTCGAATTCTCAGTCTCCTTCAATATTTATCTATTTTAAATTATATGCGGTATTTATAATACCCTATTTCATTTGTATATTTGTTTATTGTAACGTAATTGATGTGTTCGTCTTCAATAGTGCTGTAATGGTAGTGACACTTTAAGTGTGAACAAAGTGTGGTCGGTTATATAATGACTATCGGTTAATTTTGGTATGGTATATGTAAAACTAGCAGACACGGTCAAGCGTTGCTGTGGCTAAGGTTTTTGTTATATTATATAGTAGTAAACTATTCAAGGGAAACGGTAGGAGAACACCAGTCATGCGGACCACCATACTTATTTGGTGTTTATGCCATTAAATTGTAGCTTATGTGAAACGTTGGTACTTTCAACACAGCGCCATCTGTTAGAATTGTGACTATAATTTGCAATAAAATAATATTGCGGGTATAAATTAAGATGTAAGCTATCCTTATCTTTTGAGTTAGATCAAACTGCACAGTGTGCAAATTTGATCGAAATCGATTAAGTAGTTTAGGAGTCCATAGCGGACAAACAACGTGACGCGTAATTTATATATTATAATATTAAGTCGCAGTAAGGTACTTACAATTAATGTCTAATATTAAAACTTTGGTCTCCGGAGGCGCCAAATTCGTATTAGAAGCCTGGCACACTAGCCTCGCATTCAGATGTTGCCTTCCTACATTGGGGAATGTCAGGGTGTTGACTGTGATACCGTCGGCTCGCTGCTCGAATGAGTCATCGATCACCACGTTCTCAAGGTACCATGTAACTCGCGGTCTTGGTCGACCTGGTGAAAAGTACAAACTTATAAACGGGTGCCTATTAATTTATCTAATAATATTTATGTAGGTGAATTTGTCCTCGAGAACCTTAATTTGTGAACGTTATGTTGTGGTTAGTAAACCGTCGGACAACGATTCTAAATTTGTCTTAAATAAAAATATTATATTTTTATTTTGCCCATTTAATTTCCCATACCCACATATTACCTGTACAAATTACGCAAAAATTACGAGAGCTCAATAATGCGATCATTTTCGTTGTGTGGAAACTTCAGAAGCTACACAACCTATTTATCTATGAATAACATTAACGAAACAATACGTAGTAATAAAAAAGTAGTCTGGGGGACCAGGATTTTAAAACGAAATTAATTTCTGTTGTTTTTATTAATGAACCATGAAAAAAACTGGGCGGATGGAAGTCTCATTTCAAAATGCACCAATTAAGCTGTATCACGCCTCCACAATGTATAATTAAGCCGCCCATTCACAGGTTTTAATGTTATTAAATATAACAATAACATAATAGCTTTATGGTTTATATTTCAAACAATAGACAACACTTTAATGGTGCCCAAAACCGGACTTGCCTATATTCGAGGTATATAATTATTTAGCTATTATGATGACACATTTAGCTTTGATTATACATGGTATTACTTTATTGTCACTTTATGTGTAAATTGAAACATAAAACGGCCATCTGTATATATTATTTAAATTGTTAGTTATTTAGATAATTAAACATTTAAGAAAGCTTTTATGGTTCTGACTCATTTGAAAAATTGCAAATTAATAATATTTTAACTTACTAAATACGTTTAGATCTATTATTAAAATTATTAAAGCTTTATAAATGAATCTATACAGCAATTGGTTAGTTTACATTTCTTAATATGAGTATTAGTTGTTAGTATAAGTTCTAAAACTTTGAGTTATTTTTTTAGTGGTCTAGTTCTTTGTTTTCTTGGGAGCCGTTGTGCTATAAGAGCTGCTTTTCTTTCTTCAGATGGTGATTTGGATTGTGATCTTTACCTTTTATAGTCTATCGATGGCTTCTCCTTTACTATCAGCTTATCATACCATATAAAGGCGATTTATTCACTTTACTCTTCTTATTCTTTCTTTTGCTTTAGATATATACTATTAAATATATTAAATGTGAAGTTAAAGGTAGTATCGTGTTTATGTTTGATGTTTTAGTAAAATGGTAATTTTGGTAATAGCATCTCATTCACATGTTCGACTTCAGGCACATTAAAAAAAAATGAATATCTGTCTGTATTACTGGTCACGGTGGACTTGTGGGAACGTTGCTTCAATGATACAGATAACGATCTGACAATGATTGAAAAAGTGACTTATGGTGTTAATAACCGCCTTTATCGTGAAGACCATAATCGGCATATTACAAAATATTGACTAAAGTTATCAAAAAGCAACAGGTTATCCTAACTTTAAAAAAAAATTGGTATAGGTTTCCTTCACGTTCATCTATGTATTTTCCCTCTTGGAATAACCCAATAGAGGGTGTGGTAATTATTATGGAGGTGCCATGTTAGGTATAAGATTATAAATACATGTTCCTTATAATCAGTAGACTGAGTTGTGTTATTAATTAACGCACGTATAACATGTAGGTAACAATATAGTAGTAGGTTTCGTTTACTTTTTATTGTCTTCAATATGTTAATATTGATAAGGACTTAACATTCAATAGCTCTTTTGGGCTCCTGGTACGTTTATAGATATGCATGTGGTCCACATCAAGAGTAATCGTAAGCGTATAAAATTATGGCTCAAATTTATAAAAGTAGTTAAATATCGAATAAAAGATCCCAATCCAAAAATTGAAATTCGAAATTCAATTTTGATTACAAATAGCACACTATTAACAAGCTTTATCAATCAAGTGTGCTCAAATATTAACGCGTCGCAATACAAAACGAAAATAATTGCCAGGTGCAATTCCCGGGCAATCAATAATACTTAATTGTCCCCTTTGTGCCTAGTTATTACATTGTCACTGAGTATTGAACTTGATATTGTGGATTTTGTTACCGAAATCTGGAGCCGGTACTGTATTTTTCATCGAATATAGATAAAGCTTTAATTAAATGGCGTGGCTGTGGTGGCCTTTAAGTCGTGTTTTGTTTACGCGAGTTTTAGACTCCTGTATAAATTATAATTGGTATATGACTTCCAAAGAGATAATAATTATATATATAAAGGTTCATTTTTTTTTAGAATTGAAGTAGAAGACTGTCGTATTCATGTACTTAATAAGTTAAACCTTACCTCCTTCAACTTCGCAGATCAATAAAACATTGGATCCTTCGTTATAGGGCTCCACGAGTTTAGTCCTATCTCTTCTCTTTGCGTCGTATATCGCTGGACGGCTCGGAGGTACTATAATTATAATATTTGACATTAAATTGTAAATATTTTTGTTAGAAGTCCAAAGTATAATTTTTCTTTTTGAAGTTATACTTCTTTAGGCGCGTTATGAAAAATTGATGAGAGTGTAATTTTACAATGCGCGCGCACCGTGACACAAAATTAACAGAATGAAGTTGCCCACGGAAGATGCTACGGCATTGGACATAATTTAAAAACAACATTCGAATAATAATAGAATTTATGTTACACATAATGTAAGAGAATAAAATAAATATTTATTTATTTAATTTCTCAAATGTAAACTGAACTTTATTGACTATAATGACTCCTTTTCCAGTCTTGATTATTTAATTGTAATTAATTATTTGCATGCAATCAAAAACTATTTTTAATAATGCCAAACAAGTATAACTTCTTACGCGCGTACATAAGTACACGCACCTTTTTTTTTGTACACTATAGCTTCGCTTCTTTCAACATCTCCAATGCAGAGCTACGTAAGCGAATTTTATTGTATCGTATATTTTGTATAATATACTATATGAGTATATGAAACAGTTAATGTTAAGAAAAGAGTAATAGCTAAATGTTTAAAGAATTCTCTTATTTTAAGTTACAAAAAAAAATACATATACTTACTTATAACAGTGAAATTAACTTTAAGGTTTCTAGTAGGAGAGTTTTTAAAATCTACTCGGCATCTATACACTCCAGCATCCATCGCAATTACATTGTCAACCATGAGAACAGCTGGTGTTGCTCCCCCGCGGAAATAGGCTCGATTTCCGAACACCAGTGGGGAAGACCAGAGCTTTGGTTGGTTATAGGAACGTCCTCGGATGTCAAAACTATAAATATAAAGGTATGAGCTTGGCGAAAGTACTACACCATTTTTGTTTTGTTGTAACACATACTGAATAATATTGTGTGGAACAAACTATTATTACGTATATACACAATTTCTTTAGTAAAATATTCTATGGTTATAACCATATGATTTTTTCTCACCTATACAATGGTTCTCCATCCGACTCCTTGAACCATAGTACCATAACAACCGCGTCGTCCGAGTGTAGAGGCTGTATATCACAAGGAAGTGAAGCCTTTTTACCCAGCACTCCCTGGACGTCTAAAGTTGGCACTGAAACACATTTAACATTGTCATAATCTAATATATAGAAAGCATACGAATAATTAAACTGTTTTGTTTACATTAAATAAATATCTATAGAATTTTAAGCTTTATTAAAACGTAATATTGAGAAATACCAGTTATAATTTATGACTCCTAACTTAAATGATTTTTAAATATATATGGCCTTATTGCGCAAGACGAAAGTCGAATATCGGAAAAAAAAACAAATCAATGTCGCATATCATTCTCACACACCGTAAAAATCATAAACCAAAAATTGTGATATTCGTTTTAATACTTATTATTACTAGTATGAGTTGGGAATTGGTTTTACTGTTATTATTAACATACTAATATCTTTCAATTATAAAGATCTTATACAAATTGATAACTTGAGATAAAATTAATTAAAATCGTAATAAAAAAATATCATAATTTAAATAATACAGTAAAGAAATTGCACTGAGGGTAACAAACTTAAAGCAGTACTGGGGCCTACTATGCGGCCTTATTGCAAACCGAATGAGAACCTACATCTGAACAGCATCGGTTATTCATACCATGGGGTCGAATAAACAAGCTAGTTTAGGTTTCCACATGACCACAGCGGTATTCATTCAGTCTAGTTCGTACCGTGACCTCGAGACCGAACTTAAATTGGACCGTTTAGCCGTCAAAATAAGCGATGGAAAAGTTACTTTTGTTAATTTTTTTTGTATCGAAGTGCCCAAATAATAGTTTAGAGCATATAAAATTTTACTCGGTCATAAAGTAAGATCAATTATGCCTTGTCAATAAAAATAAAACCAAAAATAAAATGTTTTTTGGTTTATTTTGAGTTTAGGAAGTGTGATTATAAAGAAATTATTAATTTAATTATTAATCATATTATTACATTGTTTTTTTTATTTAAAAAAACATAGATATTTTTAAAATTTATAATAATATGTATGTAAATAATAGGCATTTAAACATATTCTTCATTTAACAGTATGTATTTAATTTGTTAGATCGACGCCATTAAGATAAGAGAACATTATATCTATAAATAATGTAAAACAATCAAAGAAAGGAAACACGTCCACGAAAAGCCTGCGTTCCACCACGTCTGCACCAACGGCGGATCCAGGGGGGGGGTCATGGGGGTCATGACCCCCCCCTGAGCAGGACTTAGGTGGACCACTAATTGAACATAATGATTTTATATATAAATTTGTACAGAAACCATACAGATTATATGTAACTACATACCTTCAATATTTAATTAATTTAATATAATATAATAACTTTGTATGATGGCAAAATGAACGCATCGAAAAATTGAATTTTCCGCGCCACACTTGCGCGCGCTTGTCGCTATGAAACGTCTAGCTAGACCTTACCTCAATCGGAATCGGAACGACTAAACTTCAACATATCATAACATAGTCTTATTTTAAATTGTGACATCAATATGTATCCTAATATAGGAAAATTGGATACACTACCCTGTCAGCGAAGCGACAGCAGAAAGGTCTTTCTCTACGTTACGCAGAATTAAATCGTGGCTAAGATCTTCAATGGTTGAAGATCGCCAAACCGGACTGGCACTTCTCCACGTTCATGAAAACGTATCCGTTGACGTAAATGACGTAATAACGCGTTTCCGGAAGACACGTTAAAGAAAAATTGATTTAGTTATTGAAATATATGTATTTTGTCTGTTTCTATTTTGTTTGATGGAATCCCTTGTCGTACCATCTCTTCACTTTTGCGAAGTTTAGCGTAATACCCCTCGACATACCTCTAGCTGTTATGACAAATCATTCACCACGGTTATGTAATATAAATAGGCTGCCTCATTCCGTACGTGATAGTCAGGCCGAGCTAAGCTCGCCAAAACAGCCCGAGCTGAGCTGTAAAGGCCCTAAAGGCCAACAGCGAGATTCCACTTTAAAAAAAATACGTGATAGTGTTTTTCTGGATGTCTTCAAGAGAAGATGGTAATATGTACGTGTATACAGGTTGGTCCAACTAGTGACGTCAATATTTTATAATAATATCGAATAACATTTTGAATTTTGAGTGGTAAGACCAAAATTATTGTAAGAATTACATGAGATACTTTTTTTACGGGTATTAAAATTAGCAAAAAATAGATCGTAAAGTTTCATTTGTCATAAGAAAAATAAAAGTTAAAAAAAAAAACAGTTTTAACGCTTCAATTATTTTTTTCCTATCCACATTAAAAGGCCGATTATAGCTACATTTATTTTACGGGTATTAAAATTAATTAAAAAAACACATTATTAACTTTAATTTTCCATAAGAATAATAAAAGTCGAAAAAAAAAACATTTTTAATACTTCAATGATTTTTAACCTATCCACCAAAAAAAAATCCACCGATTACAACAAAAAAAGACCAATTAAGAACCATTTTTTTTTCTATGATTTTGGTAGCTTAGAACCCTGTGGAGTTTACACTTAGCCAGAAGCTATGGAAACTTCTTTTTCTATTTTTAAATTGAAGTCGAATGTTTGGGCAAATCCAGCTAAAAACTAAACTTCTAACTTTAAAACCTTTTTTGAGTCGCTTTAACGAATTTTAAGAAGCTGGGATTTTTTTACTTGAACATCATTTAAGGCAATCATTCAACAGAAAAATAACTGCAAAATACCTACAACAAAAAAATATATGAATTTTTGAAACCTCGCAGGCAGAAAACATTCAAAAAACACAAAAAATGTATAACTCGAAAACTACAAAAACGCGGCATGGGGTATTTTCGTATGCCCCCAGGTGTAAGGAATCTAAAAAAAATTATTGACGTCACTAGTTGGACCAACCTGTATGTACACAATATTATGTGTTAAGTTTTTCAAGTGTACAATAAAAAATAAATGTTTTTAAGTGCAATACTTACATACATTAATAAAATACCTACTTTTTATTTGTATCTATTGTTATCAAAATTAAATTATAAGTTCTTGACTTGACCACGACTATGTGACCCCCTCCTGGCGCCAAAGCTGGATCCGCCCTTGGTCTGCAGACCAACTATCTCTATTGCTTTGGCAACTGAATCAGCAACGATTCAAAGTCCCCCGCCATCTACGCCTTCGCCACAGCAGCGAGGGAATGATAAACAGGAGGAAATACACGTAACAGAACATAAGAAAGGCTTCGTTCGCAGCAAAGCACAAAAAATGATTGCATGTTTGCCGCTTGCATCTGGACACCAGTGTGGAGGATGTCAGAAGTCACGTAGAAAACATAAAAAGGAAATCAGTAGGTTCGCAACTTTCATTATAAGCGTATCGTAGGCCTGTTTTAATATTTTTAATCAGTGGGAAATATGACCGATTAATGCCGAATTGTATAAATGGATTTGTTTCGTAACGCAGTCAAAGTAAAAAATATAAAAGAAATCACCTTATACTACTAAAATGTCAGAGGACAATGAAAAATTTGGGTATATCAAGCTATGAGTTGTTTGCTATTACGGATACCGGTTGCAATGAATCTATAAACGACGCTGAGATCGTACCCATGGGATATAACATTATGCGCAGTGACCGTACCAATGCTCGAAAGCAGGGCAGCGCGTTTCTCGTCAGTGCTACGACGTGTACATATACCGTGTGCATCAATTTACTCTTGTCTATTTGAATAAGTTTGTGCAAATAAAAATAATATCGTATTTTTGTGTCGTGTTGTTCATGTCTTTAGTGCTAACGAAGTTGCTTAGTTCTTCAAAAGTGTTAACAGTAGTGAGCCGCCACAACTTGATGTAAAAGCTTTGGTGTGCCTTAAACCTAAGCGTTCGGCCGGCGCTGATGGCCTACCATTATTTTTAGAGACTGTGAAAGACTACTGACAGCGCCTCTTCACATATTCCTTACTTATTATTCTTCATATATTTAGCACATTTTTATAAAATAATAAATTAGTTATGCAATCTTTTTGACTTAAGGTACCTGTTAGGAGGATTGTGTTTTTTGTACATAAGTAAATAAAATATATACTAAAAACATAATAGCTTATTCTAATTGATGGAATAGTTAAAATAGTTTTTAGATTAAATTTATTATCATAGAAGCATCTGACGAATCAGGTTCAACAGTTAAATTTCAGATAATCCTATGGATCACAAACAAAATTATTGTTATTTCGTTCTGCCTTGCGATTTCAATCAAACTCAACTCAACAAACTCAACAAAATATCTTTATTCAAGTAGGTAACCAAGTACACTTGAATCGTCAAGTTAAATTAATCGTAAATTTACATTTACTACCAGTTCCAAGTCAAGGGCGTAGAGCGGGTAAGAAGAACTGGCAAGAAACTTTCCGCCACTCTTTTTAATCGCCAAGTTTGTCATACAAATTGTTTGAACGGAGCAACAACCCAAGATTAGGATCATTTAAGTAGTCCTCAAATTTATAAAAAGCTTTGTTGATTAATTTTCGTTTAACGAGGGCTTTGAATTTATTTAGTGATAATTCTCTAATTTCGCTTGGGAGCTTGTTGTAAAAACGAATACAATTTCCATATAAGGAGTGGTTTATCTTTTGGAGCCTGGTTGGTCGTACACTCAAATTAGTTCTATTTCGCGTATTATACTGGTGAAAGTCACCATTTGTTTTAAAATCTTATATTTTTGGAATACAACAAGGCTTCAAGATATATTGACCAGATAGTGTCATAATATTTAATTCCTTAAACTTATTCCGTACCGACTCCTCGAGAAACACAACAAATACCCCAAAGCCCGCTTCTCAGCACAAATATGGATTGAACCTCTCACAGCACCCCACAGTAAAATGCCGTAACATAACGCTATGAAAGTAGCTATGGTACACAATTTTAGCCGTGTCCTCATCAGTAAACTGTCGGATTTTCTTTACTGCTATGCTGCAGAGCTCAGCCTATTCGAAAGAGTCTGTATTGTGGGCCCCATGGAGTTTACTATCTATTGTTATGCCTAGAAAAACAGTTTTGTCAACAAAGTTTAGTTCACTTCCTTAATTTTCAGGTTACCAATTCTCGCTTTACGCTGTGTTGTAAATCTAATACATTTTGTTTTATTCTCAAAGCAATAAGTTATTTACATTAAACAGTAACTATACGAGAGATAGAATTGTTTACATCGTCAAAATACTTATTCCTATTACTTTAAATAGAAGTGAAGTGTCATCAGCAATCCATCTCAGAACTTCGTTGAAAAGAATGGGAGGCATTTGTAAATCAAAAAGAAAGGCCGAGAATCGATCCTTGGGGACGCCCATTGATACCTGCGAACCCGGAGAGGTGACTCCATTGACATGAACTCTTTGGATCCTTCCCTTTAAATATGAATTCATCAGGCTGGAAGCTTTGCCATCAACGCCATAGTGTTGAAGCTTTCCAACGAGTATATCAGGATGAACACAGTCAAAGGCCTTTGACAGGTCACAAAAACGCCGACTCCATCATATGATTCTTCCCAGGCGTTAAATATGTCCGAAATCAACTTCACACCGCATCGATTGTGGAGCGACCCTTAGTGAAACCATACTGTTTATTAT